CCTGCATGGCCCACAAAAGGGTGAGTGAACTTGGCATAGCCACTTCCTTCTCGAAATTTCACCCTGCCCACAAAAGGACAAAAGGGTGAGTGAGTGAGTGAGAGTGAGTGAAAGTGAGTGAGAGTGAGTGAGAGTGAGTGAGTGAGAGTGAGTGAGTGAGAGTGAGTGAGTGAGAGTGAGAGTGAGAGTGAGTGAGAGTGAGTGAGTGAGTGAGAGTGAGAGCGAGAGTGAGTTTGAAGCAGCGCATCCCCGTGTACAGACGAGGTATATCATTCGCGTGTACAGATGAGTCACTTTTCGCGTGTACAGACGAGGCGCCGGCCTCCTACCTGGATCCCTTCTTTTCTTCCTTCCCTTCCCTTCCCTTCGACGAGGTGACCAGGGACCAAGGGGACCAGGGGACCAAGGGGACCAGAGGACCAAGGGGACCAGGGGACCAAGGGGACCAGGGGACCAAGGGGACCAGGACGACCATGTGGACCAGGAGCAAGCATACAAGAGACGGGAAAGGAAAATAATTATTTTTTGATTAGTTAATTAATTTGTTGTTGATTACGTAAATAACTTTTTTTTGATTCAGTAATTAATTTCTTTTTGATACACATGCCTCAACTGAGGCCCCCAGTTTTGACCCACAGACACACGTGGGTACTTTGAAAGATCTGATCAACTGCCCTGTTCATGACTTCAAAAGGCCTCCCTTCCACTCATCTGCCAGTTGAGCTTACCCCCACCAAGAAAAGCAACTCAATGGTTTGGAAAAAATAGAGCTCTCTTGGCTGATTCAACAGCAAACTTCCACAATCATGGAAAGATCACTGGCCCTCTTCCAGGAAAAGAGAAAGAATCAACAAACAGAACGAGAACAGAATCAACCCCCTGATAACTTTCGCCAACACAACAAACAACCCGCACACCATGCCACACACCCGAGCTTTCCAAGCTGCCACGCTGGGGCGGCCCAAGGTGAGAGTCCCCGTCTTGTCCAAGACCACCGCCTTGACTTTGGACCCCAGCTCCAAGGGTTCAGCGCCACTGCGGACCTGGGGCTTCATAGCGAAGAATCGAAGAAAAAAGGAATACTGAATACTAACTCGCCAAGTCATGAATATGAAAGTGGATGAACAGGGCCAACAGTTCGGAGGACCATGAGTTTTCCAAAGACCCAAAATGACCCAAACAAACGGTTTTCATTCCACTTCCATGACAAATGGTTTCAGGGAGCGCCATTCTTTACAAGAGCTCCAGTGGGCAGAGCTTGGCACGAAGACAGTCGAGATATATTCGAGATAGCCGAGGAGAGATATCATCGGTGGGAAGACCACCAACAGCATGTGCCCGAAGTCTGGAATTTGATGGCATTGGAAGTGATCCGATCCCGCGTTACACTCCTCACACTCAGATTGTGGAATAGCAAGGCAGTCTGGACACCATGGCCACCTCATCACAGTTCACTCCCCCAGCGTCGCCCCTCTCGGGCTCCCTGGCCAAAATGCCGCAGCGCGCCGCCACCCCGGTGGCGGCCATGACGGCGGTGGGCGTCGCCAGGCCGAGGGCGCAGGGACACGCGATGAGGAGCACGTTGAGGCCGTGCTCCAGGACGAAGAAGGCCTACCAAACAACGCAGGAAAGGGGCGCAATGGAAACCTGGGTCTTGGGATCCCATGGTGGGAGTCAAGGCCAAAATCCAAAGGTCAGGAGTCCTCCGCAATTTCGGAGGGAAACAGATCTCTGCGACCAGAATCCAAGACTTCACAGAGCCAAGCTCCTTCTTCTCACTGACATCGCCACAACCAGACGCACCAACACCTTGTGCCATGCGCCAGCCGCATTGGCGCCATTACATGCGCATCACGCGCGCAGGGGAGGGCGCGTTTCAAACGCGGGTGCCTTGTCGAGCTGCGGCCAGGAGCTCGTACGCCCCTGCAGGATGGCGGTCAAGGGGATCACCTCAGTCGACACCGGAGATCCGTCGGACTGCCTTCCTCGCAGGGGGACTGCAGTCCCGCCGCCGGTCTGCGCGCCTCTCGAAACAGCAGGGATCTCAAGATACGCCCTCCGGTGGTCCGGTAAATCATTTCTACCAGTGGATCATCCTGTCGGTGTGGGCGACCCACTCGTGCACGAGCGCACGATCCAGGTCGGAAAGGTTCCGGAACTGGGGTCGAAGCCTTCTTTCAAAATGCTCGATCTGGAGTCGATTCTGAAAGCCGACTCGCATCCATGCACGGGAAGAAGGGGGGCGGTAGACCACTTAGATGACCCCCCTAGACTAGAGATCGTCGTGAGTCAGGTGTCCTTAGTTAAGCCTTGCAGTGGGCCTTCTTTCCGGACAGTTGCGACCTGTCCAATTCTGCAAGACATGACTTCTTCCACGTGATTTCCAATCAATCTGAGGCACATTAAAGGTATAGACCAGCAGGAACCAGGCCATCCAGGTCATTAGGCTCAAGGCCACGATGGTGGGCACGAAGCATTGGGCGACGGCATCCGCGACCCGTTGCACGGGCGCACGGGTGAGCTGTGCGGTCTCCACCAGCGTCATGATTTGGCTCAGCATCGTCCCACTGCCCAGCTTCTCCTGGAAGGCGACATGCGAAGGCGGTGCTGATGCTGCTGATGGTGCTGTCTTGGAGGTGAAGCTGATGGGTGGTTCACATGTGACACTGGAAGTTGGGGATGCTTTCGTCAACATTACAAAATGTTACACCGGTTGCACATGTTCTTCCAGAGTCAGTTGTGGGAATGCTCGATTGCGGCTCCTGCTTGTACATAGTGATTTTCCGGCTTCGCCAACAATTGTCTGTTGCATTTGAGCTAGGAATTCTGGGAAGGCTGTGCGTATGTACCCTTGTGCACACCCTCTCCACAGCCGAGGCACCACCTGCATCTCTGCTCGCCCGGTCAAACCTTGCCATCAAAACATGTAAAAACAGTAACTTCAGAACCCGAAGTTCAAGTCAGAACTCTGACGTAAGTGAAACAGTCAACAGTCACCCCTTCAATCTATAGCCACCATGAGACCTTCAAACCCAGCTGAGGAGCATTTGGAGCCTCCAATGATGGCATCACCCTTCTTCTTCCGAACCGGCCGAGACTCGCCAGTCAGGAGGGACCTCAGATTGCAGCTGCGTGCACGGCAAGGGCTCACTTGCCGGGGATGCTTCCCAGCGCAAAGGAAGGCCGTTCGAAGAGCATATGGCAGTCACACGATACACACACCTTGAAGGGTCAAGGTAAAAAAAGGCACGATGTCATTTCGATGGTCAGCTTGAGAATGGAAAATGTGTTTTTCTCTTGAAAAACCCCAGCCTTCCTCATGACTTGCTTGGTCCAAGGAGCTCGTCGAACTCGGCATAGCCACAGTCCGATGTCATGATCCCATCAGTTGGAGCCTTCGAAGCGGCGCGGCAAATGCGCAAATGCTGTGCTGCGCCGAAAGCTCTACGGATTCCTGTGCGAAGCTGGCCCAAGAACATGTGATGATCGATCTGACTTTAACACATGGGATCTGGAGACACCACATGACAGCAAACTCATGTTTCCTGGATCCTTTTGGCTCCTGCAGCCAGTTCAGTCAACAGCCCACCTGGTCAGTTCCTCGCCAATTTCACTTAGCCCGGCACGGTTTCGCCCGGAAAGATCTGGAGGTGGTCGCCGATTTCCAACAGCTGTGCTGGCATGTCTTCCACCTCAACGTGAGTCGCATCAGACTGGTTTAGTGGTACGCGCAGCGGCGTAGCATCGATCTCGCTGATCGACTGTAATCCCCATCACCTGGTACCCGCGCTGAAGTGAAAGACTGAGTTTGGTCGGCTTTCCAGTGTTTCCTAATGGCTTCCTGACTTCCTATTGACATTCTATGGCTACTATGGCACCGCCTTTACCAGCTCGCTCTTCACCCTTCGGACCGTCCACCACCAAGCACGGCTCGGTTTCCAACATCGTCTTCTTGAGAACCATCTCCCGAACCCCGCCGGCCGCGGCCCAATGCGCCGTACCTTCCCGGTCCACTCGAACCAACCCGGTTGGGCCACCGTGCCCACCGTGACCCGCTGCGTGCTCCTCCCTGCTCCCAGCCCGCCTCCGTCCCGTTGGGTGCGGACAGGACGTGCGCGCAGCGCGGCCGCAGCGCCAGGAGCTGCTGCAGCGACTCCGACGCGCCGCTGCGCGCCCAGGCCTCGCCCGGGGTGAACTGACGAGTTCGGCACGACGGGGGCGAACACGTAACGAAGGTGTTGGGGAGGTTGGGGAGGTTGGGAGTCCATCTTGCCGGTTTCCTGGTGGAACAGTGGCCAAGCAATGCGCTTGGGGAGGACGAAAAAGTGTTGGTTCTGCTTGGTTCGAGTCCAGCGTGCTAAACAAATCAGTGATTTGTGAGCCCTCCTGTGAAAAACAATCGATGCACTTCTCCAAGAGGAAAGCAGAGAATAGGCTACATGTGGCTCTCTTCAACGCACCTACTCTGTCAGCATGGTCAACTCAATCTATTCTGTAAACAATGGAGGCAATTGCACAGTCCAAGCGAATCCAAGTGCGAGGAGATGGCTGGCCCGGTGGTTGCCCCCTTCGCTGAGACAAAAATCCTTTGCCTCCAGGTGCTTGCCCACGAGGATGGTGGTGATCCTTGGACCGCGTCCAACATCCCAGCGGCGCCCGAAATTTAGGCACCAGCCGGACCCAACGATGGAGGTGCAAAATCCTTCGTAAAACATGGTAAACCATGGCTGTTCGGTAAATAGTAAAGACAATTAAATCAATGGTGGTTGGAAGCCTAGGGCCATGGCACTACCATTGGTATTGCCATGGCACACCCCTACAACCACAAAAACCTGCTATCAATGCCATCAGTTGGACGGTTGGCCAAAAGGGAAGCTCAACCCCCCCGCTTAGCGATACCGCTCAGTCCGAGCCGCACGAAGCAAGGCGTCTCGAAGTAGGATGGGGGCGGCGCCTTGCATTCGATGCCGGCCACGTGGGAGGCAATGATCATACAGAAGGTGACCTTGGCCGCCAGAAATCCACTTCTGCAAACAGGAGTGGTACGTAGAAACTTTCGCGCTTGGGGGGAAATGCTGCAGATTCAATCTTGGACACTCAAAATCTAGCGAGCTGTTCCATCATGTTCCCCTATCTATCTAATCTCTGACTCGGCTGAGCCGTTGGGTCGAAGCCATCCAGCTCTGCCAGGAGGCCATGAAGGAATAGGCGAAGCACAAGGCAGTTCCCAAGGAGATGAGGACGTTCATGTCCCAAACTCCAGTCCTCAGCACCCGAGACGAACGTGACGGAGGGAAGGACCGAGACGGGTCCTCCTTGTTCTTCCGTCCGCACGCGGCGGGGCGCACACACGACGTGGAAAGCACAACGCTTCATGTGGGTGGTTGACTAAGAATTGGTACATGCAATACAGCCCCCCTAAGCAGTACGGGCTCGATTGCAATCTGCTGTTCAACCTCACGCAAGCTCTGGCCCTAGTGGCCTGCCCATTTTCAGGACAGGAACCACACACAGGCGGCTCCACGAAAAAAAAAAAAGATTGTGCCAGGCTTCGAGATGGCATGGTAGGCACCCAAGTGGAAGCGGCAACCGCAGTAGAGTTGCACAGGGGTGGCTAGCACCTGAAACCGACACTCGACCGCTCGAGGGCAAGATCGTGCGCCCAGCCGCGTCGCGGTGCATGAGGAGCTTGCAGGAGTGAATGTATCACCAGAGTGGGGTCTTGGGAAGGGTGGACCCACGGAAAAGCAGCCCTCAAGGTGCTTCACCTCCGCATGCGGCATTCGACAGATCCATCAACTCCATGACTCGAAGGGAGTTCATCCGACATGACTGGTGCCATGGACCGTTCTTCGGCGGACCGTTGGCTTGATCGTTCCTCAGGGGCTGTTGAGCTGTTTAGCTCGACCGAGGTCGTCCAGGTCGACTCAGAACTTGGCGCCACCAAAGTCAAGGACACTCCGAAGCTTCGGCTCACCTACTGTAGTCATTGATACTAAATGATGGGTTAGGGATGGTTAGGGTTAGATCAGTAGGGGTTAGATCTTTACAGTAAAGACCTTTGTGGAAAAGTAGTCTGGAACTTCCAGGGCTGCTCAGCAGGCTGGTGCCTTGTTCTGAAGCAGCCTCAAGAACCCAACCGGACAAACAAACATAACATAATATGACAAAACTGGCTGCCCTGTGTTGCTGCATCAATGATGAAGCATCATGAGAAAGGTGGGGCGGTAGACTCGGTAGACTATTGGATGGATAAATCTCAGATGATAGAATCTATACTAGGCTCATCTTCACACGCGAAGTTTAATTACATGGATCCAGATGCAATTCCTGGGCAACTTGAACAACACCTCAACGACCCCACGGAGTGCAACGACGGCCCAGAACACCTCTGGCGTTTCCTCCTTTTTCGATCCAACGAGGCACGCTCAAGATGACGGTAATGCAAGGTAGTCCGGGCACGATATGAGTGTGCAACATTTTGTCCTCAGGCCACGTCTGTCGCCCCCAACCCCGTCTGTCGTCACGGCTTTTTTGGAGGGAGGAACGGGTCCGAAATCCTCCGTGGGCCCATCGAAATCTATCAGAAATGTCTGGCCTTCAACCCCTCTGCCCGGCATCCACGTTCAGTCTTGTAATCTATCAAACTCTATCACTTCCTCTAAGGTTGGGCTTGGTCTAGAAGATGATTCGAGCATTCTAAGGGTCACCAGAAAACCCTGCAAGCTTTGGGCTTTGAGCTGGATTGCGGCGAGCTGCAAGCGCAAAGAACTTGAAACAACTAACATCCAACCATCTCCTCGTGCTTTATGCACCAACGCCGCTCGCGACTCTTCCCATACATCCTGATTCCCCCTTCCGAACCGCCCAGCGCCCCGGGGCGCAGAAGTTCCGCCGTCTCCTCTCTCCGGCCGCGTCCGCCTCCCCGCCGATAGCCGCGCCCCCCGACGTCGTCCGAGGAGCGAAGCGCGTGAAGCAGGGCAGGACGTCGCTGAAGAGCAGCACCGCCAGGGTGAGGACCACGGCCGTGGGGAGTCCTTCGGCCATTGTGGCGGCGAGGGAGTGGAAGGCATAGGCGTACTAGGTGGGGATGACGATGAAGCGCCATTGGCATAAGGGTTTTACAAAAACCAGGTGAAAGAGCAGGTCATGAATGTTCAAATGTCCACATGACACACGACGCAAAGTACCATGGAATGGAATGGAAATAACTTTTTGGAGGCATGTACTTAACTGAGAAACCAAAAAGGAATGGAATGGGGACGGCAGAAGCTGGTCAGCTGGTCTTCTCCAGGGCGTTTGCCCAATGTTCATCCTGAGTGGGCTCCAAAACTCGGCCAAGCCCAACGTTGTTGCGACGTGCCGTGGAAACCATGCCGCACTGGTCCTAGCGGCATCCCCTCACCCTTCACAGGTGAAGCGTGGCTGGTGTCCACCTCAAAGCCCTGCGATCGCCTCGGCGATGGGCGATGCTAGGGTGGGGTCAGCTGCCCTCAAGGTCGGTGGCTTCACCCTACACCCGACAAGAGCACACATAGATAGAACCTGAAAAACCACTGGGTTGTAGAGGAAAGTTGTCTTCCTTGCAGGTCCATTGCCGTTCACTAGAATCGTGACTCGTGTTCCCATCTCTCTCTTCCTCTCTCCCCCTTCTCCTACCTCCTCCCTCCCTCGCACGCCAGGCCCGTGGAACCGTGACCGTGGAGTTTCAGCCTTTCCGGGCCCCGCAACCCAGGTCTCCTATGCACAGAAAGGTCTCCTTGCGCTTGTTTGGCCTGGTTTTTTGCCGAATCCAAAGCTTCTGGAACATCCCATCTGTACAATGGACGTGGACCCGTCTCTTCGAACTGCACTGGTCTCACTTGCTGCACGAAGTGTGTTCAACGCCTTCGCCCGCCATTCAACGCCGGCCCCTCGGCGGTCTCGCATGCTTCTTCGCACCCCATTCCGCCACACAGGCCGAGGCGGTCGCGCAAGGACCCCGGTCGCGATCCCTTCGTCGGTACATCTCTCCACAATCGTCCGGGATCGTTCGGATCCGGCCATCGGACGAGAGGAGGAGGGCCCTGGGCCCTGGGCTCCACTATGCTCCACTGATCGTTCGAAAAGGCTGCAAATCACTCCCCTGCTGCGAATTCACATTGCAGTGGTAGATCCTCGGCATATCAAATTCCCGCTGTACTCAGCAAAAATCTAAAGTCAGTTTGCAAAGGCGAGCCCACTCATTTGGCTCGGAAGGAGGTTGCTAACAGCATTTGTGCGAGAGGTTTTCTTGTCCCCACCCGTACGATTCAAGGTCGGAAGGCCTACACCTACACCTTCATTAGCAACTCCCCAGGCTCTACCATAGCAACTACGACGGTTGAAGGCCTATTGATATATCATATATTGTATGACCGTGAGAGCCGCCCCAATCTCCCAAAACCTCCACACTTCTTCCCAAAAAAGTAAAAACGAGGATCTTCGTCGTAAAGCGCACTTTGGGAGGCTTGAAGGGGTACTCGATGGGAAAGGAAACGCTCAAGAAGAAGAGTCCACCCGCATAGGCAGTTTCTGCGGGCCCTTGGATTACAGCCTCCCACTGGAAGAGGTCATCACCGACCTCACTGGCCAAAGAGAGACCGGAGAAAACATGGGCAAGCCACTCTTTTGCCCAAATCCAGTGGTTCAGGGTGCCGTCATAGCGTGCTTGTGGGTCTAAAAGCATCAATTCTCATTTACATCCCTCTAACTGTGCAAGAACGATGGTGTTGCCACTGCTGAAACAAGGTGAAACAAGGACTGCTGCGAAAACGGTTCACAGGACCTCCTGAGCAATTTTCAATGAGGCCCTTCTCAAGCTCTTCCAGTTCCTTCTTGATTCGCTTCAAAGCTGCCATGGCCTGGCACCCTGAACCTGCACTGCAATGATGTCTTGAGCCTTTGCGGCAGCAGCATCTATATAATAAAAACTCAGCGAAAACATGCCGGATTTTCCATGATTGACCATGCATGCAAGCGAGTCCGTAAATGTGCAGGCTCATCGACCGGATTGAGGGCAGCCGGTGTCTGTCAAAGTGCTCCTGATTGAGGGCAGCCAGTGCTAGCTGTTCTCTGCATCATGGGATTCGGGGGGTCTCTACTTATACAGTGGGCCATCAGAGTAGATGGCACTGGCACCCCAAGATGTGTTTTATATGGGGGTCCATCTAAACCACCAAACTTGGGGATTGCGCCATCTACTCTGAAACCACTGCAAATCCTTGGCCAGCTTCACAAGCAACTGGACGGGCAGCACTTGATGCTTTTCCATCCTCGAGAATCCCTCCTGGTGAGATGGTCGGGCGGTATAGCCCCAGATATAGACCCCATGTCTTCAAGAAGACTCCTCTTAGTTATCTGCAGCAGCAAAGCCCACCTGGTAGGGATTGGTCGAACACTGCACCCACGTACCGAAACCCGATTTCGGCGCTCCGCACACCATGCAGCAGCTCGGCCAGGCCGGTGCGTCGGCTCGTTGCAGCCACGGTGCAGGCTGCACACGATCTTCCTCGCGCCCGAGCGGAGAGGATCGTAGAAAATGGTGAGCTCGCCCGGTCCATCTGGCGACGTGGGTTGCTCGAGTCCACTCGGGTGGGGCGGAGCGACCTGAGACCTGCCTGCTATGGCATGAGAATGGTGGGGTTGTCTTGGTCTTCAGCCTCACACAACTCCAAAGCGTCCCTGTTTTCACCTATCCCCAAGTACTTAAGTACTTACAGCCACTGACAGCAGTAGAACTCAGTTGAGGTACCTGACATAGATCACCGGCACATGATGACATGCATCACAAGAGCAAATCCCTGGACCGATAGTTAGCGATAGTTTGCGGCACGAAGCTGCCAGAGGACCTTGGTTTTTCGTGGTTTTTCTGCCTTCGCGGCTCACAACTTTGGCTGCACATTGGAGTTGACGTTGCTGACGTACAACCAAACTGGTCTGTGCCTAAACCCAATTCTGCCACACAGGCAGTCCATCTGTCACAGCAGTCGACAAACGAGCCCACTTCAGAACATGAGATAGCTGCTCAGTTTGTTGCAAAGAATCAGCTTGTTTCCAGGCAGTCAAAAGCCCAACCCTCCTGTCAAGAATCAGAGATCGAAGTCTCTGGTTGAAAGCATCCTTGTTTGGGATCTTCGCTAGAATGGTATCGACATCTTCTGGGCGGCTTGCTTTCATATCTTGCACTCTGAGGCCTTCGAGCGTGTGCTGTCTGCTGAGCAGTGTGGCTTTATTCCGGACCAATAAGCTCTGAGCCATGCCCATTCGCTGAGCTTCGGCCAGCTCAGCCATACACCAGGCGCGGCTGAAGAGCTCCAATGATGCATCTACAGCAACCAGCTCTGCGAAAGACGGATCCTTGCAGGCTAGAAAGGACATCATGTCGTCAAACTTGTTCATTTCACAAGGAATGCTCTCCCCGTACGGGTTCAAAGGTGGCGTGGTGTTGAAGAACTTGGGAGTCCTGCATGAACAGACTGGATGCAGTAGCATTGTGACAGGATCAACATCTGCACGTGGGTTTGCTCCACATATCCCTGAGTGTTGGTTCACTGCAAAGGCACAAATCCAATAGATGTCCCCTAAAGTTCCTTGCAGCCGGATCATTTGTTCCAAGGCATTGATGCCCACCTCATCGGACAGCAAAGCAGAAACCAGCTCGAAGGTGTGCTCTTCAAGGGCATCAGCAACGACACTTGCCAGCAAGTCCCGGAACAGGTTGGACCAGTTGTGGGTCACCATCTTTCGGGGCATCGCAGGTTCACCTCTATTGACGAGCTGCGCATAGGAGGTACCATGTCTTGCAGTTATTGGGATAATCGCCAGTCGCACAACATCATTGGTGGTGTGCACATCCGGCCTGTAAGACAACATGATTTCATTCCCCAAGCTGCGATAAAAAGAGAGAAGGTGTTGCAAAGATAGACCGCGACCAGCCAGTTCCTGAGTCTTTGCTTCCCATTCTGTTCCCACGACCTCCCTCTTGGGCCTGACTGGCCTGGATTTGAAGCGGAAGCGACCAAAACCAGTAGGCCCGCTGTCTTTGGGCAGGTCGGACGGAAGCGAAGAAACTCCCCAAAAGCGGTAGGCTCCCGACAGGAGAATCACACCAATCGTGTTGGTCACCAAGTTCACACACTGCACATATTGAACACCCTGGAGTTCAAATCCTTCGACCTGTCCAACCTCATACCCCACCACAGTGGACACCGCAACGCCTGTGAAAATGGAGGTGGTGGCTAAGCTAATCACCAAGCCAAGACCTTGCAGCAATGCCGCTCGCCGGCTGCGCCGCAGAGCCTTGCCAGACTCCAAGGAACCCTCCTGGGCCATCTGCTGCGCTGCATTGAAAATGTACAAAACACGGCAGAGAGTTGCAAAAACTAGAATCATCCAAATGACAAAGCAACATGGTATCAAAAGAACCAGCGCCGCAATAGCAATGTACACAAGAATTAACCCCAATTCGGATCGACGATGCGTTGCACCAATAATCAAGGTGAGAGGGCCCAGTGTGAGCAAAGCAAGTTCTGCCCAAAGAAACCTGTTCAGCCACACTCCAAACCGTGGTTGGTTGAGTGCTGGCCAAATGCTTTGGAGACGGTTCTGGATCAACACCTGCAGAATTACAATTTCACAGACCAGCAAAAAGACCCTGAGACTGCCGAGGACGCTGACGGTCAGGGCGTCACCGCCATCTCCGTAATAATAGGTTAGTTCATCATCATAGTACTCCCTTGCCGCAATGATCAGGCTGGTGGAGGCTAAACCCTCAATCCAGTTGAGAACCAGAAAGCGTGATGCCTGAAGGAGGTGTGGTGTTGAGGCATGGCACCATACCCAAATAGCTCCACAAGCTGCTACGGCGGTACAAGCCATCAGGATGCATAGGTTCATGTCTGCATATTGTGGTGTCGCATCAATTTCACACGCGAAACTAGCGCCGGCTTTGCACGTGCCAAGGAGGAGGGCTCCCAGACTACTGAGGATGATGAGGAAAATCGCACCTAGAAATGTCAAGCATCTGTACAGTGACACTTGGTTGAGCTTAAATGTCCAAGCACTTCTGAGGTCAGTGGAGGAGCTTGATGTCAATGCACAGCTGCTCAACGTGTCCGAGCCACCATCGCTATCACCAGAAGAATCACTTGACATGGCCAATCATTTCAGCTTAATGTTCGAGCCTTGCCGAAAAAAAGTGCCGCAACAAAAGCTCCACAGCAAGCTCCATTGAAAGCATATTCCCAGGGCCATGATGCAAAACACAAGCCATGACTACGCACCTCCCAAGCACTCCATTAACCCAGCCATTAACACGCCTCATCAACACATGCCATGAACACTCCTAAAAGGACAGCCTGCAAACACGTTTATATATGTGTATATATATATATATATGTATTCCAGTTGTTCACTCCAAACACTTTGAGACACAAGCCCTAACAAGGGGCTTGGTCGAACGATTATATATATTATGTATATAAACAGAGACCGATCCAGGCTCTCCCGGACCTTCCACCACCTCCAAAATGCCATCCATGGACTTCAGGTCCGGCAAGGCACCTGCCAAGTCCGGACCCTTCAGAAGCAGGTGTCGCTTGGACCCTCAGATCTGTTCAGGGAGGCGGACCATCAAAAAAGCTCCCAAGAGATGTCATGGAAGAACCATGACTTGGACACTCACCCACAACAAACATCATCAAAAGTAGACCTCGACCCCCCCGAACTGACCAGTCGCTCTCGCTCTTCGGAACGCCGGGACCCATGATCTCGGTCGGTGGGTGCCGAGTCACGCGTGACGACCGGTCGTTTTCACGTGTAAAATGAATAAAAAATCAGAATCGATGAGCCACCGACCTCATTCCCATGTGGAAACACACAAAGACACCCCGACAGCAAGGAAGACTCGTCCGCGAAGTCCGCAATCCTTCGTGGAAGAAACACCATAGTATGCTGATATGTTTTAACTGTAAGGGCGCGGCAATGATGGTCGTGCCATGTCGTGCCTCCTGATGCTATGCACAATTTGGAGCCCGGTAGCTTCATGACGAACATACTACTCGTGTCTTTCTTAGATTCCTCTTTCGCGCAAAAGAAGGCCTGTGCCACCAGCCACCAACAAATGCAGTGAAGCTCGGGCACTGGATGCCTTCAGGTTTCAGCTCAGGAAAGGCGGGGCTCAGTGGCCGAGACATGTCAAACATGGGAGACCTACTTGCCCTGATTTCATCTGCTTGTTGTTCTACGGCATGATTTCAGCCATGCATGGTGTGCCCGAAGTACGGACGTAGTCCTGAGTCCTGCCCATTCCTGTCTGCCACCAGCTGCATCCCATGTCACGATCCACCACAGATCAGCCCAGAAATCACGTGTCGGAGTTGGTGGTTTGGCGGCCACGTAGTTGCAAGGAGATCCCTGCCTGCGAGTCCTCAAAGTCTTCCAACACGCTGGCATCAAATCCAATGGCTTCTACTTCTGCCTCGGCAACATCTGAGTGGGCACCCGCCATACCAAGCTATCTAAGACTATCCTTTTCCGCTAAGCTATGTCACTGAATGTCATTGAACGAATCCATCTTCTGGCGACGAAAATCCGTTTCCTAAATGTGTCACCACCATACCACCCAACGAAAAAGCTACCATCCACCACAGTGGACCTATTATATATGATCTTTTGTGTGATGTGGCAGCTTGGTGGCACAGCCGCATCTCCAAAACATTCAACTCTTGCCCGACCCCAAACGGCCGGCTTTCTCCGAAACCAACACGACGTGGTGGCACAGCCGCCATCCGTCGGCTAAGGAGTCCACTTCACATGGGATACTGCTGGGTTTATTGCAGCGGCATGGAAAACCCTGCCG